TCCTCAGTTCCTCAGTCCTTTCCCACTGTGCACTTGTTACCTGGATTAGTTAATCACCTTTCAGATCATGCCACTCCCTATGGAGTGGGATAAACTTTTACCACAGCCCGCACGGCCGTGGGCCACTCCCTGAGTCCCCTGGCCCACCCTCCAGCCTGTCCCCTTCTCTACCACCTGTGTCATTGTTGGCCCTGGCATCCGCCTTCCCCTGGAGATAGTGTCTTGTCTGTCTTCCACTGGGCCCCAGGCCTGGCCTGCTTGAAGGAAGAATCCATCCCGTTTCCGTGTGAGCACGGTCTCCATTCTCCAACAGGGAAACTGAGCACCAGGAGGCTCATGACTCGCCCAGGGCCGACTCCAGGCAGAGGTGGGCTGGGTGCACACAGCCAGCAGGACCTGTGTCTTCAGCTGTCCCCAGGGAGGGCTTTTCTTCCCTTTTTGTCACATGAGATCCAATGGCTTTGGGTGACAGCGACAGACCCTCCAGCCCTGGAGATTGGGACTAACCCCCAGCCAGGCTGCAGCCCCCAGCACAGCCCAGGGTCCACCTGCTGGCAGCAGGCCGCTTTTGGGGACCTCACCACCTGCTTTTCATCTCCTGAGACAGGGGATGTTGTGTGGCTCTGAGCTCTGGTGCCCCGGGGTAAAGATCCCACCCAGCCACTTCCACGGCTGGGCAAGATGAAGGCTCCCAGGGTTGCCATGGCAACAGAGTGATGGGATGGCTGTGTAGGCAGGGTCTTTCCCCCAGCCACACTGTCCCCTGTGCCCCACCCCGCTGCGGTCACAGAGCTCCGGGGGAGGTTCCGACCAGCCGGCTCCAGGCCCCTGGGGTCCGTCCCATCCCGGGAGGACCTTCAAAGGACTCAGCCATTCTTGAGCAAGTGCCAGGAGGGAATCTGCTCTTGGAGGCAATTTAGGCAGCCGCACGGGTGGAAGGAATTTGCCATTCCTCTTAACAGCGACCCCGTAGAGATTTATACGAGATTTATACGGGGCCACTGTCCGAAGGCCCCAGTGGATGGATGCTGTGTGCGAAAGGAAATGCCGAGCCTGGCGTCTCGCTGGGCTAATTGCCCTCAATGAGCCGCAGCTGGCTGGGGGAGCCAGCAGGCCAGGGCAGGCCAGCCGCCTGTGCCCCGCCCCCCGGGATCCCCGTCTGCCCGGGCCTGCCTGGGCTCGCTGCCATCACCTTCCAGGTCCACTCGGGGTTCACCAGGAATCCAGGACAGCCAGGAGCACAGCCACCACCAGCCAGGCCCAGGCACAGCCACAGCCTTGGGTCTGCAGCTTCCTTGGGAGCTGGAGGCCCCTGAGACACCGGGGCCCCTGGGCTCCATTCTGCCGACAGGGACACTGAGGCCTAGACATAGGGCAGATCAGTGGAGGCCCAGGGGAAGGTTCTGAACTGAAACAGTGACCTCTTAGAAGCCTAGTGCCTCACAGCTGCCTCCAGAGACTTGTGAGGCTCCTGGTTGGCTCTCTGGGCACTTCCAAGAATGCCAGGCCTGTGTGGGGTGCTGGAGGTACCACAGTGGGCAGAATCCAGCTTGACCTCCATTCCCAGGGGCATACGGCACTGTGGGGAGACAGACACCAGTTACAGAAATATTTGGTGCCCTGAAAGTATTCAGAAGGGGATTCGACCTGTTCTGGACATCTAGGACTAAGTGTGTGTCATTGAGTTGAGCAGAAAGTAGAGATGAATTTGTGAGACTGGGCAAGGGAGGGAGGTGCTAGATGGGAGAGGCTTTCACGGAGCGGGAACAGCATAAGCAAAGGTCCTGTGGCAGAAGGAAACAGGATATTCAGGGAAGAAATGAAGCCATGCAGCTGAGCCAGTAGTTGAGGAACAATGCTTACAGGGCAGAGCAGGACAGGGAGGCAGCAAGGGGTGATTGTACCTTCAGAAAGGTGATCCTAGGTCTGGTTTAGGACAGGTGACCCCTCACATCATGCCTACACAGCATGCAGGACACCAGCCCCAGCCCACCATTCATTCCTCTGGGCCTTGCCTCTGTGTTTGTCTCTGGCTTTCAGGAGCTTCTGTGGCCAACCCTGTGTGTACAGCACCCCAGCAGCCTGGACCAGGGGTTAGGGGCTGGGAAGCCATCTGGGGCCAGGCATCTCGAGAAATAGGGATGCAGAGTCACAGAAGCAGAAGGCTGAGGGTCAGGGGTAGCTGACAGCAGCAGGGAGCCGTGACGCGGGGAGTTGCCAGAGCCTGGCAGCCACCAGCAGCACCACACCTGGCTTCTGCGTCACTAGGTGCCTTGAGGACAAGACAGGGCATCCCTGGTGTTAGTGATCATGTTCAGGTCCTGGGATGGAGAAGGCGGAAGGGAGTGGATGATGGAAGGATGAAGAGACACATGTCTCAGCCTCCTCGCTGAGCCTCAGGGTACCCATGGGCCTCCCCACAGGCCACCCTGTGTCCCCATGAGCCAGGCCCCTGTCTGGCTGTCACGGAGTGGAGCCTCCGGGCTGCTTCTGTGGGATGCAAACAGGTCTGACAGGTTCATTAGCAGCAGAGACAGCTCCGTGCATGATTTCCAGGAAAGCAAAGGTCTTCAAGAGCAAGAGGGAGCCAGGTCTGCGGTGGAGGAGGGAGGGAGCTTCCAGAATCTGTTCCTTGTGTCCTGGGCCAAGAGCTTCAGGGTGACCTCCTGGCCACCTGAGGGACCAACAGGGACCTGCATGTGGCCAGAGGCCCGGAAGCATGCGTGGCTCTTCCCAGAACGCCACTCTTGGTGTCACCCAGCCACAGACCCCGTCCCCACGCTCCGCGGTGTGGGGAGGCAGTGTGAGCCCGGGCTTCTAGGTGCGGACTTCCAGCTCCACCACTGACCTCGGGCAAGCCTCGGTTCCCTTTGCAGTGCACACGCAGACCTTAGCCTGGGGGCTGGCGCTGCTGAGCCCATCAGTTGGCTCACCTCGCCTACCCTGGGCCTATCAAGTCCTCCCACCCTCACGCCTCTCCCTGACTCTGGACTTTTGCTGGATCCTCCACTGCTGTCATCACTCACTAAGGGAGTCCCCCAAGACCCCATGACTCCTCCTGTCCCTGCAACCCCCAGGGCTCTTCATCCTGCCTCCCGATCACGTCTGCTTTTGCCTCTCCCTCGCTCTCTTCAGTAGAGACTTTGCACTAAGCTACACCTGCAGCCCATTTTTATTTTTTGTTTTGAGACAGGATCTCGCTGAGTCACTGAGTTGCCGGGCTGGGCTCAAACTTGCAGTCCACCTGCCTCGGCCTCCCAGAGTGCCAGGATTATAGGTGTGCTGTTGCACCTGATTTTGAGATACACAGTGCACAGGTCTGGGGATACACCCAGACCATCTTTCACTTATGTTTACATCTAAGTCTCGAGGCACTGTGCACAAGAAGGGTGGGGCGAAACTGCTAATGGATTTCTTGTAGGAGTGACAGCAGGTTCTGGATAGTGGTGATGGTTCTAGAACCTCAGCCGTATACTAAAAACCACTCTGAAATGGCAAGCAGTTACCAACTGTCCACACTGAGTGTATTCCTTATGTACTGCAAACATGTACTAATACAATAATAGGAATAAAATGGTGAGTGTTATAGTTTGTGAGTTATACCTCAATAGAGAGGTTTTGCAAGTGTAGAAAAGAATACCCCTTCCTCCTTCAGCGTAGGCTCCATGAGCACTGGCTGCAGGGCGGTCTGGGGCTTATTCTCCCTGCTGCATGAGCTCTCACTGTCACACAGTGGGCCCGCTCTGATGGGCTTTATGGCTGCTGCCATCGAGGATGTGGCCAGTCTCCAAGTCCCTGCACCTGACCCTTGATGTGCCTTTGAAGAACATTCCTGATGGCACACGGCTAGGTGTGGAATTGCTGCTTGGCATATGCGTGGGCTTAACTTGAATAGATTTGCCAAATAGCATCCCACCGTGGATGACCTGCCTCACACCCCGCCGAGGGTCCTGGTGGCTCCTCCTCCTCACCAGCACAGCCTTTAATTTAGCCATTCAGATGAACGGGTACCATGTTGTATTTTTAATTTGCCATTTGCTTATAAGGAAAGAGGCTTGGCATCTGTGTAAATGAACTTTTTTGTCACCTATCTGGTTGGTTTTTTTTTAATCTTTGTATGTTGTTGTTGTTGGTGGTGGTGGTGGTGTTTTGTGGTACTGGAGATTGAACCCAGGATCTTTGAACTGAGCTACACCTCAGCAGCTCAGTAATAAAGAGGAAGGACTTTCCTCTTTATTTTGAGACAGGATCTTGCTAAGTCACTAGGTTGCCCAGGCTGGGCTTCAAATTGTGATCCTCCTGCCTCTGTCTCCCAGAGTGGTGGGATTGTAGGTGTGCCCCACCGTGCCCCACTTCATCTTTCTATTATTTATCTGCAGGATTTATATTCTGGACATCGGATCTTTGCAAGGATCTCTGTGTTGCCAATATCTTCTCCCACCCTTTGGCTTGTCTGTACTCATTCTTAACTGCATTTTTGGTTGGCAGAAGTTTTTAATTTCAATGAAATCCGATTTACCCACTTTTTATTTTATGTTTAGTCCCATATGTGTCCTGGTTAAGAAATCTTTGCTTACCCTTGAATGTCTTTTGAATCTGTCCCTCCACTTCTGTCCAGCTCCTGGCTGCCAGGTGCCTCCTGTTCCACTCCCCCTGTCCCCACTGATGTCCTGCCCCGCTTTCTGTCCTCTCCACCCATCTTCCTCCCTGCAGCCCATGTGGCCCTCTTGCCCACAGACAGGCCTGGTTCCTCTTGTGCAGTCCCTGGGACTGGCAAGACCCTGGCACACACTAGGTACTCAGTAAATGCTGCATAAATGGAGGCAATGTTCTGCAGCCCAGCTGGGGACCATTAAAACTGTCAATTAGTTCTAAACACCAGCTCATCGGGAACAGTTTGAGCAGAGCCAGGGAACCAAAACGTTTTGGAAAAACCAACATGATAGGAATGTTCGCTGTCTCCCCAGCCGGAGCGCTCAGCACGCAAACTCAGACCTTCGCGTGATTTATTCTTGCTTTACCCCAACCTGTGGGTCAGGGGGAGCCTCCCCAGTGCCCACAGGCTAAAGGAGCCCCCACTGACTCTGAATGCAGGGAAGACCCTTGTCTCCTAGTCTTTCTCTTCGCCGTGCGTGATGACGTAGCACAGGTTCCTGTAGTCCAGGTTGCCACATACATCTGGTGGGAAAGCTGCAAACATCTGTTTGACCTGAGGAGGGGGCAAGGAGGCAGGCTGGACCAGCGATGACTGGGGTCAGAGTGGGGACCCTCGGTGCCCTGAGAGCCACACTCACCTCCTCCTCGCTGAATCGGTCTGCCTGGGTCATGAGCCTCTCCTTTATGCTGCTCAAAGAAAGAAGCAGTCACGTCCAGGGAAAAGGCAGATCCCAGGGGTGAGGGGGTGGCAGGGCCAGCCTGGGGCTGACACCCAAGCCCCCAGCAGCTCTCTGAGCCCGGCTGCCTCTTTTACGAGCCAGGCTCTCCACCAGCCTTGGGTGGGGACCAAACAGAATGACCTTGAGACCCCATCGAGACCTTAGGGCCACTGATTCCCATGGTTTGCCGACGATCAACCTTAGGGTCACTGAGGGGGACACTCGGGCCCCTGAAGCCTCTTGTCTTGGTCTTGGTACACTGTCTTGCAGCTTGTGACTTTCGCTGACGTCTGTACGGCATTGCACTGACCACAGGAAGCTCACCCTTGGTCAAGGGCACACGGGAAGGCCGGCCACAGCTGGGGGATCTTGGGCCTTAGCTCTCCCAGACCTGGGAAATGACTACTCTGATCCTCCTTTATGTAGGGGAAACTGAGGCTCAGGTCATCTTAGGACTTGCCAGATGTCCCACAGTGAGGCAGTGCCAGGCGGGGCCTGTACCACTTGGCATTTAGGAGAGCAGCTGGTCACAGTCACCAGAGTCACCTGGGACCACAGGAGCCACACAAGGGAACGGTACCTGCTGGAGCTTGGGGCCCTTGTAGGGCTTAAGGGGGAGCTCGGTGGACAGGGATGGGATCTGAGGGCTGAGCGGCCCCATGCACTGCAGTGTCCTCTGGCGCCGCTGAGGACCAACACACATTTTCCATTATTTATGTTACGCAGGACAGTCACAGTTTCCAACTCCCCAGGCTGGGGACTTTTCACAGACTTGGTTTCAACCAGCTCTTCCTCTGCGGCCTGTCTGGCCAGCGGCCACATCATCCGGGTCCTATGGCCCAGGACGGCGCCTTCCATTCCCAAATTGGGTCCCCAACCCTGTCCTCAAGCTGGGAGGAGACAGCAGAGGGGCTGTCCCAGGCCCTGCTCCCTGAAATGGAGATGGAAACCCCAGACTGCAAGGGGGTAAAAGGCAGGAGGCTTCCGCGTGAGATGCGCACGCAGTCCCTTCACAGCCCGGGAGTCTGATGGACCCTGCCCCTCAGGAGCAGGTGCTGATGGCAGCGGGACTCCCCACAACCTCACATCCAGAAGCCTGTGTCTGGTGGACACAGCCAGGCTCAGAAGGGATCCCCAGGGTGCTGGGCAGCGAGCCAGTCACTGTCACCCTGGGTCCCTGCTCCCAAGGGAGAGGGTCCCAGCCCCCGTACCCACTCCTGGGGCAGCACCCACCTTCATGAAGCCATCCCACGGGCTGCACACGGCCACCTCCCCTGCCCTACCTCCATCCCCGGACCTACTCAGGCTGTGACTGGCATCCAGCTCAGTCCTCGCCACACCCTAGGTCCCCTGAGCACTGTCAGCTGCCTTTTTACTGACCCACTTGCCCCCTGCCATCCCAACACCCCTGGGCCCTCCTTGAAGCTACAACCCTCTCAGCTCCTCCTCCAGGCTGGCCTGCAGGTTGCCTCAGCCAGCACTTTCTGGGCTCTCCCATGCTCCCAGGGCAGCCCTGCCCCACACAGCCCCTGTCCATGTCCCTGTGCTCCACCCCCCACCCCCTTCCACCCACACCCTCCAGCTTCCAGTCCACAGGTGTCAAGCCTCAGCCCTTTGCATGCTCTGTTCCACATCTAAAATGCTGTTCCTGCCCTGTACAATCTTCTTCAAGTGCCACCTCTGTCCCCACCCCATTCCCACCACTGGGAAGCCCTCCTTGAATGGCCTGCACTTCCTGTCCACTTCAGAGGGGGACACCAAGGTCTGGGCCAGAGAAGGGACATTAGAAGTCCTGGCCGGATGCTGCTCAAGCTCAGCAGAGTTCTGGGTGGAAGAGGAGACTGGGCTGCCACCCACCTGGCCCAGGCCACCTCATGCATCCTCTGAGCCCTTGGGGAGTGAAGCCCTGGGAGACCAGGGGACTCACAAGTCAGCCTTGACGAACCCTTTCCCCTCGGTGTCGAACACCTTGAAGGCGTGGAGAATGGTCTCCTCCGGGTCCGTGCCTACAAGCAACACACAGGGTGGATGGAGAGGCAGGTAAAGGGCCCCGCAGAGACAGCTGCCATGGTCTCTGACTCCACTCCACAGAGGCCAAGCCCCACTTGATACAAAAGAAGGAAAATTTCGGAGAAACAAGTGAGAGTAACGGCACACAAGGCACTGCACACACGGACTCATGAGCAACCTGCACACCTGTACGTGGACACCCTAGTTGCTATGTTCTTAACCCTCCTGACAATTGCTCCTATTTTACAGATGAAGAAACTGAGGCTCAGAGAGGTTATAGTATTTGCCTTGCCAAGTTCTTGAAACTGATATGGCTACAGCATTGGTGAGACTGGGGGCAGCAGCTCTGGGGTCGCACTCATTACCCACTGCGCACAGAGGCTGTGAGTGAAGGAGAAAGATCTCTGTACTTGGGGGCTGAGGCTGGAGCTAGCACAGCCCACTGGAGGGGTCTTCAATATTGTCCCAGCCGGAAGTGGCGGGGGGTGGTAGGGTGGGTGGCAGCGCAGCCAGCCCAGGGCCGGTCATCACTTTCATGGCTTTGGGAAAAGCTGCATCAGAATAAATGCTTCTGTTTTTTGTGTTTTGTTGTGTTTTGTTGGGGTGGGCGGAGTTATGGGGCTCGAACTCAGGACCTCACATTTGCCAGGCAGGCGCTGAGCCACTGAGCTAAATCCCCAGCCCCTAACAAATGTTTCTGAATCCCACAGTGGGCTTGAATACCCTGCACCCTTGTTGTTCTGATGGGGAAACTGAGGCCCAGCACAAGGAAGAGACTGCGTGAATGGCAAGTAACCTGACGACCCTCGCCTGGACCTCTTTCCCCTGTCGCAGCTCACCTTGGGCCTGGGAGGCCTCCTTCGTTTCCCCACGGCTCCCAGTCGCAGGGACGGAGGCGGTGTTTGCTGCCCCCCATGTGACCAGCTGGATAATGCACCATGGCTGGACTTTGACACACATCAGTGAGTCGTGCTGCAAACAGCCTCAGTGCTCTGCCAGGCTCCAGGCCTGCAGCTTGGCCACCGACCTGAGGGAGACCCGAGAACCCTGGATAGTAAACACCATGCCCCTGACTTATCACAGAGGACAGTGAGGCTTAGCGGGGTTCTGAGACCCCACTAATAAGGGAAGGGAGGATTTAACCCACTTCTGTGAATACCCAGAATGCCCTGTTTCTTCCACCAAGCTTCAGCCAACCAGACAGGTCATGGCCACCTATGCTCCCCGCCAGACTGGATCGGGACCATCTCTCTCCCCATCAGACTGGAAGCTCATCCAGAACAAGAAAGGCAGCGTCCAAGTCACTCGGTCTCTGAGGCTGCCCAGGTGGGACAGAGCCCGACCTGTGCTGGCTGTGCCAGCCCAGGAGCTACGGGAGGGTGCAGATGGGGCTTCCTCCACAAGGACAGCGGAGGCTGAGCCCAGGCCGGCCGGGCTGGGAAGAATGGAGTGATCAGAGGACGGCGACGGGGCACTGTAATGTCTCTGCTCCTGAGGCCCCAGCCTCCCAGACTTCAGCAATTAACTGAAAATTCCCAGTGACTTTGAAGAGGCCTCACAGCTGGGGCCGGTTTGTGATGGGCGCCCACAGCCCTGGGTGGACCAGGCCCGGCTGGCGGCCCCTCACCTCGCTGGCCACTCCCTGTGTGGGGGCTGGGAGGGCCAGGCGCGCGGTCCCCAGAGAGGGCCTCTGCTCCAGGCCTGTGGACCTCATAAAATGGGCTGCAGAGTGGCTGCTTCCCGTCCCAGGGAATCTCACGACAAAGTCTCCCTGTCCCAATTAGTGGGATAAGGCGGTGCCCACCCCAGCCCCTGCCCTCCTGGCTGCTGGCCTGTCACGCAGGCTTAGCCACATTCGCATGACAGGCCAGGGGCCCCTCCAGAGGTGAGAAAAAGCTGCAGCCCTGCAGGCCCCTGGGTCACCACTCCAGCTCAGCCACAAGCAGGAGCCTGCACCTTCCCCAGTCTGTCAATAGGCTGTGGCCATCCAGAGAACCTTGGAGCTCAGGTCTCAGCTCTTCCAGGCTTAAGCTGCAGCCTCTCAGGACCCTACTTTCCCTGGCTGTAAAATGGGACTGGTGGCTTGGCATGGTGGCACACACGTGTAATCCCAGCACTTTGGGAGGCTGAGGCAGGACCATCGCAAGTTCAAGCCCTTCCTGGGCAATTTAGGGAGACCCTGTCTCAAAATTTAAAATGAAAAAAGGGCTGGGGAATATAGCAAAGAGCCTGGATCCAATCTCCAGTACTACAAAAAAAAAAAAATGGAGGGCAAGCTCCTGCTCCCTTTGGAGCTACTAGGTGGAGCCACCCAGGTCCCCCCGGCCGTGCTTGCCCTGGAGTTCCTCCGGGAGGTGGACACGGGCCTGGAAACAATCCCTAGCAGCTGCCATGGGCCCCTGGCACTCCTGGTCAACTATGCAGTCCCAAGTTCAGAGCCTGCCCCAGAGAGGGCGCTCAGCCTCCCAGCCCCAGCGTCCTTGCCTCTCACCCCCAGAGGGACCACAGGCCTCCTTCTGGCTCTGCCATCTGCTAGATGCTGAGTGTCCCTATCAGAGGAAGGCAGAGAGCCCGGGGTAGGCAGGGGATGAGGGGATCCTGTGACCTTGAGGCAGACGTGGGAGTCAGGCAGCCACTGGGGGCTGGGAGACAAAGAGCAGTTTCTCCCCTGGGGCCTCAGAGTGCCTGGCCCGGCTAGATTTCAGACTTCTGGACACCAGAATACAGTTCTGATGTTTGGGGCCACCACATGTGTGGTCATTTATCACAGCAGCTTTGGAATAAATCCCCATTTTGCAGACTAAAAATGGAGGTGCAAAGAGCAGACAAATCTACCCAAGGTCAGTCTGGGGTCACCCTGGGGTCACCCTGCTCTTATTTCCCATCCTGTGGGTGGCCAGGTCTTGACATCAGACCAGGCTAAGGCAGGGAGCACATCAGATGGCAGCAAGTGACAGTGGGTAACAAGAGTGTCCACCTCTGGGGCCACAGCCCGGGCAGGTGTTTCCTTCCAGCCACAGAACTCTGGAGCTCTGAGGCTGTCATTAGAGGGGACCTCCAAGGCCCAGCAGAGAAAGAGCACAGGGAGAAAGAGGCCCTCATGCTGTGTCGGCAGATGATAGCAGCTAGAGCCTGCGTCCAGGCTCAGGCTCCAGGGGAGCCACTTGTTTGCTGGGGCACTGGGGCAGGTGTCATAACCTCTCTGAGCCTCCTTTGAGTCTTATTTTGGAAAAGCAGCTCCCTGGTCTTTTCTTGGGGGCTGCGGTGACCGTGTCACGGGATGAGGTGAGTAACCCGTCCAGTGCTGGGGTTGTCACTGTCACCCCTTCCCCCACATCACCCCTCTGCCTGCGTTCCACTGGCAGGGGCATCGAAGCACAGCAAAGGGGAGACAGGAGCAGGGGAGGTGGGGCACTGCCCTTGGGGTGAGCAACTGAGGCAGGGCCCCGGGATGCTGTATGCACCCGGAAGCTGGCATCTGGGACCCCGCTGTGTTCCTGCCCGTGTCTATGTACAAGTGTCAGGGCTCACAGGGTGCAGGGGACATGCTTACACCCAGCCGCAGAGTCCTGGCCCTTGAGCCACTCACCCTTGAGCTTCTCCCCAAACATGGTCAGGAAGACGGTAAAGTTGATGGGCCCGGGAGCCTCCTTCACCATGGCCTCCAGCTCCTCGTTCTTGACATTGATGCGGCCTGGGGAGGGCAGTAAGGGGGGATCCAGGAACAAGAAGGGGCCCAAGGGACCTTGCAAGAGGCAGCTGAAGACAGTCCTCCAGTCTCCCAGCTCTACTGTCCCACCCACCCCACGCAGACCTGAAACCTTGGTCCATGTGGGGGACCTGCAGGCACCATTGGCCCAAAGTCTGCATGGGATTGTCCCCAACCTCACCCCTGCTGCCACCTCCACCTCAGATTCCCTGGAAAGGAGACCAAATGGATCCTTAGCTCCCTTTTGCAGACTGGGAGACTGAGGCACAAAGAAACAAATAGGGGTACAGAGCTGCCTGGGGCTCATGCACCCCTGGAGGTGGGAACTTTGGATTCTTTGGGGTCCCAATGGACACTCTGATCCCTGGGGCTCGTGGCCCAGCCAGAGGTGACCTGGTGATGTCTCTTCTCCCACCCAACCCCACTGGCACCTCAAGTTCCCTCCCTGGCAGCTGACCCCCCTTGGCCCCTTATCACCCCCAGGCCTTTGCCCAGGCTGTCCCTGCCCCTGGAGTGACCTCACTTCCCAGCTCTTGCTCTCACACCTGGGAACCTCGCCCACCTTCCACGCGGGCCCCTCCTCTGCATCCTTTGGCTCATGACCCTCCCTCTCTGCAGCCACACTCTTGCCTGGTGGCCTGGGCTCTGTCCCTCCCCAAGCTTCCCCAGCTGGGCCACCCACCCAGTGCAGCAAAGGTGTCTCTCAGGTCCTCTTTGTCGATGAAGCCGTCCCGGTTCTGGTCCATGATGGTGAAGGCCTGACAGAGACATTGGTGCTGAGCAGACATTAGCCTGCCCCGCTCAGCTAAACTGGCACCATCCCTCTGGGGCTGTCCCCTGCCCACTGCTGCCCCCAGGGACCTCAGCACAGGCTCCTTCAGCCACCCAGCCACCCAGCTTAGTAGGCACAGCAGGCTGCCAGCAGCTCTTATTTACGGAGGGAAACTGAGGCTCAGAGAGAGAACGGCATTGGCTGAGGTCACCCAGAAGGCACAGACTCAGGTACAGACAGGAACGGACTGCCCACAGGCTGCAGGTCACATCCTCAGGCTCCGAAGCACACCATGGTCCCCTGAGGACCAACTCTGTTCCCGGCTTTCGTCACCATGTCCCTGCGTTCCTCTAATCCTCCCGTGGCCCCAGGGACAGTGACTGACCTCCTTAAACTCCTGGATCTGCGACTGGTCGAACATGGAGAAGACATTAGAGCTGGCCCCGCCTTCCACTCTCTTCCGGGCTCTCCGGGGTGCCTGTGAGGGGGCAGGGAGGCCTTGTGTGGTGGCATGGAGGGGACACTTGTTCTATCCTCAAGCCTTGCATGAGGTGCCCCGTCCCCTCCCCCGCCATCCTCACCGCAGCTGTGGTCTCGCCTTGCCCAGATGCAAAAGCTTCCTGAGTGTTCTCAGGAGCACGACTGGTGTCTTTGTCCCGCAAAATCTGTCCCTCTCCTCATTCCCAGATTTTCTTCTGCCTCCCGCCTGGGTCCCTTCTCACCCCAACCCCACTTTGAGCCACCTTCCCCCAGTGACTGCTCCTGTACCCACACTCAGAAAGACTCCCCATCCTTCTACCTGGAAGAATCCTGCACTTTCAGCTCCTCTGCCCGGTCTGAGAACCCTTTTCTGGCCCCTCAGTCATGCATTCTCTCTGTTCTGAAACTGTCACCTGCCGTAGCACAAGCCATACTGTTCTGCCATTTCTCTCCCTTTCTGTCTCCCTAACTAAGTGGAGACCCCAACAGCGAGGCCCATTCTGTACTGTCTCTGACCTCTCCATCCCACCCCACACCTGGCCAACAGTGGGGATCGTGCCATTTTGGGGAACAGCTGCCCAGGGCCCAGGTTCCACCTACATGGCGGGTAAAGCAGCTGCCTCCCACTTGGAGCCGTCCCCATGTCTGGCTGGCCTCCTGCCACCTTTTCAGGATGGCATGGTGCCTGAGGGCAGCCACTGGACACTCGCTGAAAGCTCTAAGTCCCCAGGAACCCCTGAAGTCTGTCCTTCAGCAGCCGGCATTGTAGACCGCAGTCCCGGGGTCCCTCAAATTGGCCTTGATGGGGGAAGAAAGCTACCCAGGTGTCCCCAAGAGAGAGGCGAAGGCACAGCTCCCACCCCTAGGTCAGCCAGCACCGCCCTCTGCCAAGCCCTTGTCTGGACCCCCAGCCTGAGCTCCCCCTCTGCCCTGCCCTGCACCCCAGTGCCTGTGTGGTCTCCCCTGCCTCCACCCAGCCCTCACCCCCACTTCCCTCCGGCTCCGCGGCCTTCATCGGAGCAGCAGCACCCGGCTGACTTATAATTAGCTTTTACTGGGTGCTTTGTCTCCGCTAATCCTTTGAAAGGGGGCTGGCAGTGCGGCTGGGATGTTAGGGTGCTGTAAAACCTCTGTAATATTTATAAATCCCTGCAGACAGCATAAAGAAAAGAACTTCCCTGCGGAGTTCAGCTCGCATAATTACATATACATTTCCCTCTGATTAATAAAAAATGATCACTTCCGTCTGGGGGATATTCTGCCTTTTCTCGCTCAGATCTAGCCTCAGCCTCGACTCTCCCCACCTCCACCCCACCCCAGCCTCTCAAGTCCACCTCCCTCTGCACAGGCCGCCCTGCTGTGGTCCAGAGCTCTTTGAGGGGGGGCTATGAGGCCTGGGCCCTGGCTGTCTTGCGAATTCTCCTCTATAATGGGCACCTGAAAAGTAAGATCCCCTGAAAGGAGCATCCCAGGAAAGATGTGGGCCACAAGACCTGAGTTCTAATCCTGAACTCAGGATTAATTGCTGTTCTCAGCCTCTGTGATGTTGAGAAATGCACTTTCTTCTCTGAGCCTCAGTTTCCCCACTGATAAAACCAAGAGAATGTCCGCCTCAAAGCATCAGGACATTTGCTGAATACCTGTGTCCAGTACTTGGTTCCTGGGACCCAGAGCTGAATCAAAACCTGTCCTTGTCCCCAGGGAACTCACAGTCCAGCTGCAGACAGGTGACCACAGAGGATGACAGAGGAGGTACAGGTGCCTAGTTTGATTCAGGCCAGGAGGGACTCATGGGGGTGGGAAGTAAGACATAGGCCTCAAAGAACAGTAAGATTGAGAGCCTGCAGGGGACTGCAGGGGCTGGAGCACAAGGACAGGGACAGGGGCAGGTGAGTCCCGTGGAGCACAAAGGGCAGAGGCCGGATGAGTGTGCTGTCTAGAATACTGACCCCAGGCCCCAGCAGCAGCCAGGTCTGCTCAGCTTCCACCATGAAGCCTCCAAGCCTGGCTCACTTGTCTCCCTCCCCCTCCCGATCCTCATTTCCCCCCACTTTGACCTCAGCAGCCCCCACTGAGTCCAGAAAAGCAGAGACCCCAGGCACAACCTACATGGATGAGCTGGCTACCCTTAGAGATCAGATGAAGCCAGACCGAGAAGAGGAGCAGGCCAAGGTCAAGACCAAAGCAGAGGTGAGTTCAGGCACGAGGTGAAGGTTAAAATCACACAGAAATCACACAGGATGACAGCAGAGTAAGGAATGCTGAGACTGAGGCTGGAGCTGGGAGGATGACCGCAGGGGCAGGAGGGAGGGGTCTGCAGCTCCGAAGCTGGGGAGCTGAGCTCCCAAAGGGACAGCAGAGGTGCAGGGAGGGTGGCCCCAGCTTACCATGGTCTGGAGTGCTCCCTGGAGCTGCAGCGGAGCTAGGACCACTGGGGAGCAGCTCCTTAAATAGTGCTCCTCAGGGCCCGGCACTGCTCCAGGTCCAGACAGCAGTTTGGAAGGTGACCAAGGACAGGATGGGCACCTCCCTGCCAGGCATCTCCTCAGGACCATTGGGAGTGGGCAGGATTGTGGGACTGTTGGGCAGAAACCACTGATCTAGAGACTGCCTAAGCCCGGAGGATCTCCGTGAGCACCGGGCCAACTGTTTTCTCTCCAGCCAGGGGACCAGCACTCAGGAAGGGGCCAGAGGCCAAGGGCCTGCAGTAAGTCAAGACCTAAACCAGCTGGGAAACCTTGGCTTTGGGCCGTGGAGGGCAGGGCCACCCACACCAGCTGGGCACACACAGGGCCTGAACTTGACCCGACTCTTTGAGCTGAGGAGTTTTGGATGGGATGGCAACCCCTCGAAGCCCCAGTCCTCTCATGGGATGGGGGAACAGACATCTGACACCCGCCCAGTTCACTCACGGACTCATGGCGACAGTTTCTGCCCCCGTCTGGCCTCAACCAATGTGGCTACAGTTGTCCCCCGGTATCTGTGGGCAACTGTCTCCAGAAGGAACCTCTGGGGTACCCAGACTCGAGGGTGCTCAGGCGCTTATATAAATGGCGTAGTGCTTGCATAGAACCTGAGCGCCTCTCACACGTTCTAAACCTTATGGATGACTTCTAATACCTGATACCATGGGAATGCTGCGTAAATAGCTGCTGGACCATTGTGTAGAGAAAGAGCCTGCACCTGTTCCGCACAGGCACAATCATTTTTCCTAGCATCTCCCACCCACTGCTGCTTTACCCTTGGCTGCCGAATCCACGGCTGCAGGGCCCATCAGATTGCCCTGTGTCAGCAGGGACGCTGCTGCCCGCCCCTCCCCCAGGGAACCATTCAGGGCTTAAAAATGCTCAAGGTGTGGAGAGAGTAAAGAAACAAGGAAAATGAGAGAGAACTGAAAACTTGGTCTCAGTCCGCCCTGCCCCCTCCCTGCAACCCCACCCTGGTTGGGGCTGCAGCCAAAATATCTCCCCCACATGTGCCCGGCAGAGCCCCCACCTGGCCCCAGAAAGCTCCTCCAGGTCCAGGCCAGCCCTGGTGGCTCCGGTGTGCCCCCTCTGTCCATCTGGCCATGTTGGCTGCTGCATGGGAACGGCATATCTGATCAGCTGCCAGGGCCGGCAGGGCTGGGCTCAGGCTGTGAGCCACAGGTCCCCAGGAGCTGGAGAGCTTAACTGTCCCCGGAGGTGGCCTCAGGCCTCCAGGCCCTGGTATGGCTGATGCCCTCCCTTGGGGAGAGGCCATGTGACACGAGTTGAAAAAGGGCCAGTCCATGTTCTGAAATACATCTCCCAGTCAGTCTTTACTTCATTTTCCAGGTGGGGAAACTGAGGCACACAGGGATAATTCTCTCCCCCAAGGCTGGTAAGAGTTGACACCAGGATGAGAGATGCTCTCTCTAGTAGTTCCATTAGGAAGTTTGTAGAAGTTTCCAGAAGATCCTGCTTGCCCTCTCTCCCAGGCATCTCTGACTATCAATGACCCTGACCAGCCCCTCTGGCCTACTGAGCCCCTGGAATGAAGCCATCTAGGCCTTGGCAGGATGCATCTTGACCCATTCCTCTCCTGGTGTCCAACCACGTGCTTTACAATTGATCAACAGGCAAGGGCGAAGGTGCATTTGACTCTGAGGACAGGAGCCCTAGATTCCAGGCCCAGTCAGCTTCGGCCTCCTGCAAAAAATGGGCTGTGTGACCATGGCAAGTTACTGCCCCTTTCTGGGCCTCTACAGGGGGACAGGTGGACACCATGCCGGCTGTGGGGTGCAGTCTTTCCTTACCTGGTCCTGGAGCCTGGATTTGGGGCCTCCTGGCTCTGGCTCTAACTCCTGATCCCAGTGGCCTCTGGCTTCCTGCTGGCCCCAGCCCTCTGCATGCCAGACCTAAGCTCCTTCCTCCGGGGATCACACCCAGGACCACAGGGTGGCTCTGGAAAGCCCAGGACAGTCCTGAGCAAGCAGAGGCCCTGAGCCTGGCCAGTGAGGTCAAGCGCCATTGAGAGTCACAGTGAGTGCTCGCTTCGGCAGCACATATACTAACACTGGAATGATACAGAGAAGAATTAGCATGGCCCCTGCGCAAGGATGACGTGCAAACTCATGAAGCGTTCCATATGTTTAAATCAACAAATAACAAATGCTGGCGAGGCTGTGGAGAAATAGGGACTCTTCTCCACTGCTGGTGAGAATGCAGACTGGTGAGACTGCTGTGGAAATCAGTTTGGAGATGCCTCAGCAAACTAGGTCTAGAGGTCCCATTCAACCCAGCTATTCCCCTTCTGGGTATTTTCCCAGAAGATCTGAAAACATCATATCACAGCGATATATGTGCATCCATGTTTATAGCAGCGCAATTCGTAATAGCTAAATCGTGGAAGCAACCCAAATGTCTATCCACTGAGGACTGGATAAAAAAAATTGCATTTTTATACAATGGAATGTTACTCAGCTATAAAGAAAGATAAACTTGAGGCTTTTATAGGTAAATGGTCACAACTAGAGACCATACTCATAAGTGAAATAAGTCAGAACTACATGTATAAGCAATGTATTGTCTCATTAGTGTAAGAACCTGAAAGAATGAATAAAAATTAGGGGGTATGACAGACATTGTGAAATGAAAGGAAACTGCTCAGGAGTAAAGAGCAACTGGGATGAGGGAAATGAGAAAAGAAAGAAGGGGAAAATTATGTCTATGTGTATATACAGGAGAGCTAACATAGTTCTACTACTGACTTATATCACTTCATTGAAAGGAACAGTTAATGATTAATTATTTGGTCAGTCTTGCATGTCTATATTTGTTTACCTGAGAAACCACTTTGAAGTTATCAATACGTAATATAGCAACCATTGTTAATTTCCTGTCACCTTGTCTGTAATTCAGTATTGCTTGAATTGTTCTTGTGCTATTTTGTAAATGGATGTCTGTTTGTTAATATGTTTTTTTCTCTTATTTTTAAAATAAAATTTTAAAAAAAAGAGAGTCACAGTGAGACAGGGAAGAATCACAACAGGGTTTATGAGAAGGAGCTAGTCACCTCAAACTGACAAATGCTCTTTTACTGTCTTCCGTGACCGTGCACCAGGTGCTCCGGAGGCCTAAGAGTTCATGCTTGATGAACCCCGGACTTGGGACATTTCAGTAACCTAGGCAGACAGTATACACTAAGTTTGCCATTCCTTAACTCTTTATTGAGCTCTTACTAAGCACCGGCCACTGGAGACTGCAGTCAGTTACACAGGTAGCTGTGAGGGGACTTGGAGAGAGACTGCCACCACCTTTCAGAGGGAACACTGTGGGCTGGCATCCAGCAGACTTGCCTAGAAGAACGTGTCGCCCCTGTTCTGGGGAGAAGAGTGGATAATTGTATGGGTCGCCTCAGAGAGCCCACCCATCCCAACAGGTGTGAAGTCACACAGTGCAAGCGGCCAGGCGCACAGCCTGTCTGTACTTGATTTCAGGTCACTTGGGGAGGGTTGGTTCCCACCCCCTTTGCCTCCTCCCAGCCATTGAGCCCGCAGCTATTTTTACAACAGGGTACTGTGGCCACAGGCCCTTTGAACAGGAGGCCTTTTGCGTGTTTCTGCGGTGTGGTGGGTTCTCAGCCTTCTGGACCACAGCTGTAAAACCCACGAGAGCATTGTGGGAGACATTCTTCTTGGTTTTAAAGGTTTCCTTGTCTTCTCTAAGTGGCTCCAAATTAAAGGACGGCTCCAGACAAGGGCGGGGACTGAGAAGGAGGGGACATCAGGGCAAAAACAGACCACCCCCTAATTGTCCTCAAAATCTCAGTCATTCCATCGCTAATTAGCAAGTTGGGGATGCAAGAGGCAGCTTCGTTTGGGACTAGGGGGAGAAGGCCAAGCGGTCCCAGATCTGGGTTCTGGCTGGATTACTAGCTGCTCTGGCCAGAACCAGCCTGGCCCCCTGGGCAGCTCTGGCATCTCGGGAGCCCTGACATTCTCCTGGGCGTGGGGACCATGAAGCTGTCCCCACCCCCAATCTGGAGCCTCTTTCTGCATATGCAACCAAAGAGAAACCAGAGATGGTGGCACGAGTCTGCAATGGTGACCTGTGGTTTTGGGTGTTTCCCATGGACCCAGCTGGCTGTGTGTCCTTGCACCTCAGGGAACTGTCATTCAGTGTGGTGACATTTAGGGGATGGCAAGGAGCTGGGCTGCCCGGACAAACCGAACAGAGCAGGCCATGTGTCTTCCTGGCTCTCCCAAGGGCCTGGGAGCTACTGTGCCCGCAATGCATTCTGGGAGCCTGAAAGACATGTCCCTTGACTCAGCAATCTGGTCACAGGCAGTCACAATTCCTGCCAGTGACCAGACAGGACTCAAAGCCACCTTTGTTAAGCAGCACCATGTCCCGGCACAACACTGGGAATCTTCCAAGCAACTTACAAGGTAAAACCACCCAGGCTCTATCACAGGTAGAGAAAACAAGACTTTGGGGGAAGGAAATGGTGTACCTGAAGTCACAGAGAAGCAAGGCCCAAGAGAGTGTGAACTGTGTCTGTCTAAACTCATGGTCCATCTTCCCATGGCCCTAGGGCCCTGGGGAGAGAACGGTGACTTTACTGCTGGGGCCCCTCACAGGTGACTGCTTTGGTAAAGATTGTCCTATAAAGAATCTGCCTCACCATGCCTATAATGCCTATAATCCCAGTATCCAGAAGCTGAGGCAGGAGGATTGCCACAAGTGTAAGGCCAGCCTGAGCTACATAGTGGGTTCAAGGCCAGCCTGAGCTACATAGCAAGACCCTGTTTCAAGACAAACAACAAACAACAAAAAAAGAATCATCCCAAAGTCTAGGGGTGTATTCCATGGATCAGAGGCCCACTAATGCCTGCATGAGGGTGACTTCATGAAGTCTGGAACTCCCACAGGGAAAATGGCCTGGG